GAATACACTCTACATACACATAGACATCGATATATACACATACATACATCCACAGACAATGGCATAGACATTGAGAAATCACAACCAGTAAATATTTCAGACTTAAATAAATGCTAACCACTTATCGAATTATAACTTAAGGGGAGCAAATATACAAAAGATAAAAATGTTTAAAATAATATTATTTAATATTAAAACGAAAATTCTAAAACCATAAATATCAATAAAAAAATATATATTATTAATCATATAAGTTGATAATAGTTTCATTATATATTAGGCAAAGAAAAACAGGATAAAGAAATCCACAAATATATATATATATATATATATATATATATATATACACGGCAGCAAAAACAAATTAACACACATAAAAAATATACTCATACATACATATACATACAGAAATACATACAAATAAATATATAAACATAAACATATACGTACATATACATATCTATGATAACAAGTACACATGTACGCACATATACATATAAACCTACATACACACACATATATACACATAGACTTTTATGCACCCATACTTAGATATATGAAAAAAAAAAAAAAAAAAAAAACTGTCATGATATACCAAAGTTTCCATACCCACACATACAAACTCATACATAATAGGTGCCAACACACACACATATATATATACATACACAAACATACATAAATATATATACACACATACACACATATCTACAAATAAATATATATATATAAATAAATATATCTATCTACAATAACAACTACCCATATATACATGCATACATAAAAATACAACAACATTCAACCAAATACATATATAAACGAACTAACATATAGATACATAAATATACCTTCAAACACCAACACACAGCAATATACATATAGTCTAACATACAAATATATAAACACATTTATACAAACAGAAATATACTTAAATATAAATACACATACACAATAAAATAGGACATATAGATATATACATATATATGCACACATATATATATATATATATATATATATATATATATATATATATACACATATACACACATACACATATACATACATATATATATATATACAAATATATCGTGGCACAAAAGCCAAATTAGGGGGTACCCAGTGAGGGACGAACTCATACCTCAGTCGCACCCAATCTAGCGAACCATGCTGGCCAACCATTATACTGCCGTGATTTTATCATACATATACATGTACATACTCATACATATACACATACACATACATACATACATATACACACATACATACACACATATATATGCATACACATACTTATATATATATATATATATATATATATATCCAACCACATACACATACATACATACATATATATATATACACATACAAACATATATATATATATTTACATACATACATATACACACATACACACACAAATACATACATATACACACACCCATACACACATACATATATAGGCACACACAAACACATATACAGCAACAATTATTAACCTTTTCTCTTATAATCTACCTTACCTTCCCACATAATATATATATATATATATATATATACACACACACATATATATATACATACATACACACCCCACACATACACCCACACATATAAAAAAAAAAAAAAAACATAAATACATTTATACACCAACCTACACATTCCACAGTGCAAATACTCTAACCAACACATAAATAAATATATACACATTTACACCAACACTAATAACACTATGTAGGTAAGCAATACACACTTATATCGTAAGTATGACCATCATGCAATAAAAATACTAATCTATTAAAAATACAGCGACATATCATTATCATTTAAAGTATACGACCCCTACACTAAGTTAAATTTATAACGGTGTTTACAATTTACTGTAAGTTCATATCTTTGATTTAAGAGATCAGCCTTGTTTTTAAATCTAATAATTTCAAATTTTTCATTAAGGCATAGGTAACATGGGGTATATAAGGAGTTACACGTGACGAGCTTTCTTAACCAAACTCCATTTAATCGTAGGTGTTTTGTTCTTATCTTTTAGATTCCAAAAATACTTGGATAATGAGGTCATGTACCTATATTCACTGTGATTAAAGGATTGCATATGCCCCCGCCAGCGTTCCTTGAATGTTTTCATAGTAGAACCAATGTAAAACTTCTTTATATTTGGATTTTCAATTGTTGAAATAGTACCAAGATAGACTACAGAAGTAATCCCACAGTTATTTTGTAGTGGACAATAATTGATTCCTACAATTACATAAGTTGTTATTTGTATTCTTATAATTAGTATTGCAGTTAATAACCTGTTGATTAGTCAAGTCTTTTGAATTCCTATACTTGTTAAAGACTATGTTGTTATGTTTTTTAATTATCTGCTCTAGGTTATCAGCACAACTATAGCTTAATTTAAGGGTATTAGGATTAAATATTTTACTAAGTGGGTTAGTTTCAGGGTTGGGGAAATGTTTTTTGATTAGGTTTATAAATATACGCCCTAACTTAGTTTTGACCATAACGTTGAAAGGGGGAGTGAACCAAATAATCTTTCTAGATCTTCTTTTCTTATTATGGTTGCAATTAACAGGGTTTTTATATTGAATAGTGGTATTTTTGTATCCACTATTTTTTAGTGCAGAATTATAAAAATCACTGTGTTTATTGAAAACCTCCTTATTATAATTGTGTTTTTGTTGTGTCACACGTGAGTTTAAGACCATATTCACAAACTTTAAAATAAAAACGGAAAAGAAGGGAAAAAGAGAAAAAATATATATACATGTATTATCAAATGACCGGATGTATTGTAGTCTGGTCTTCTCGAACGTAATTTCAATGAAGAAATGAATTGAATAAACACATATATATTTTTCTTTTATCAATAATTTTGTAGTTTTAAACTTAATAGTGATTAAATTTGGTTTTTAAAATTGCCAGTTTTTAATTTTAATATTAAATTTTATCATGTAAATTTATAATTATTAGTTAGTATAAATTATTTTTTAATATTACACGTATTTAAAGATATGAATAGCTATTAGAGCAGGATTTAGATTTGTCAAGCTTTTTGAATCTTTCTATACTTCGTTTTTGATTGGTTATTCTAGCTTTTGTAACAATGTTTCCCCCCAGTGTAGGATCGTTAATTAATCTGAAACTTTTAAAACCATTTATTTTATTTTCAACATCATCACTTGATAAGACACAGAGTGTGTTGAAACAAAATGGCTATTTTTGTAGTGATTTTATAACATACTTATGTTATAATTTTTTTTATAAAAATAATTATATCTGCTCTACTTTGTATTGAGCACTCTTTTAAGAATAGTAATTGTTGGTTATTGGAATTCATTCCGTGTATACCAATTATATACTTTCATATATATATATATATATATATATATATATATATATATAAGAGAGAGATATACTAAATATCTATGTATCCTCCTTATATAATCAGTGATGATCAAGATATTTTAATTATTTACACTATTTGGACTATTATCCCCATTTTTGTTGTTTTTATCACATTTTGGCTTTTGTGCTTTCCAACCTTTCTCAGGTGTACATTGATCTGGGTAACATACAGGAAATTATGAACTCAACCCTTCATTTAATCTATGGGAGTAGACTGTTCTCATTCCACTGATTATGTCTTGGATTAGACATGAGCAGTGAAACAAGAACAGTCTAGCCTGTTGGTTACCTAATGCAATATACACCTGAAGAAGACCAAAGGACACAACAACAGAAACATGATAACAACAACAAAGATGAGGACAACAGCCCAAATATAAATAGCGTAAATAATGATAACTCTTCATCCCAGAAATTCAGACAGAAAATGTTTAATCTTTTTTTTATTTAGTTGACATGTGGGAGCATCCTAGCCTCTTCCTTTAATTCTCGAAGAAGCCATAGAGAATCTGAAAGCAGTTCATTATCAAACTTATTTAATCCTAAATTGTGAATGTAATGGTAATATTAGCTGTTTTCCTATAAGGAAACATTTGACATCCAGTGACTGAGCAGCCAGTACATTTTTTAGTTGAAATCTTCCATTCCAGCAGTTCTGGCTTTTTTAGTGGTTAGTTTTTCCAATACTTCTTGTTCTTCAGCAGATGCTCTTAGGAAACTGCTAGAATGCAACTCCACAAAAAGTATGTCATAACAAAACCGGAAGTGACTCAACTACACCAAACTATCAAACAAATGCATGATGAAACAACAAACTGAGAAAAAAACTCACCAACCTATACAATAACAGCAAGTGTAAATTCTCTTGTTTCATGTGCATGTGTAGACATGGCAACATCAACAAAGCCCAGTCAGATGAAATGCATCACAAAAGACTTTTTCCAATTTATCATACTATTTTTCTAAATATATATATATATATATATATATATATATATATATATATATATATTATTGCTAAAAGATTATTTTTAGTGGATACCCATATTTATGTAATTAACTTAAAAAAATGTTTAAGTAATAAAATCTATTGGATTAATAAATAAATAAAAAATCCATCATTTCTTTAGAAATATATCCTGTTCTTTAGTAAGTGCTACTTGGAGCACACCTGTCTTTATACCCACTTGTAAAAGGTAAAAAAGGGATAACTGTTTTCATAAAATAAACAAAGAACAGTTTTAGGTAACTTTTGAGCAAATTATACTGTTTATTAGTCTTTTTTTTTTTTTTGGTATGGTATGTGTGGGGGGTTACAGTAATTCAAAATGTTTTATATTGAAAATTACTTCAAATCTTATTTCATCTGTAAAAAGTTTACTATACATTTATGAGGATAATAATGAATATAAAAGTATAAAATAGGTACTATTGAAGATCTTGTGAATTTGTTAATATAAAAAATAATAAGAAATTGTTTGTGAAAAGTTGGGTTCTGAAAAAGGTTAAAAATTTTATTTATTTTTTCATGATTTTACTCTTTTTTTTTTTTTTTTTTTTTTTTCTCTCCTCAGAGAAACTGATGGAAAAGCTTGGGTTGCTCTTCAAGATCTTTCTGACAGTGCAGGTAATGGACATTCTCTCTTTTACTTTTATGCATATGATTTTTGATTGTGTTTTAGGATAAGCACTGTGATGAGAAATAACCATTTTTAAAGCACTCCAGATCACAAACATAGAAAAAAATTATTTTTAATAAAATATTATAGTTGATAGTAAGATTCTATTTGCTATGTAAATTATCCTTTTACAGAAGACTCCTCATTTTCAAGCAAATGCAAAATAGCAATTAATCATTTTTCAAAACTTTTTTCATATATTGACATTAAGCGCACCAGATTATGAATTGAAAAGAATTTATTTTTTTAAATTTTAAGAAATAATGTTATATGAAATATATATTTTTTCTTTAATGTGATTCCACAAATATTCAAGCTAGTAGATGAAAATAAATACACTATTTAATAAATAAACAGTGCATCTGCTCAAATATAGGTATCCATTAAAAATAATGTTTAAGTAATAATATGGGAAAACGATATATAAATTTTTTTTATATATCAAGACCAATTTTAGGAGAAAAACGTATGACAAAGTGAAAAAAGATTTTGTGCAACATGTTTCATCCTTTAGGATGTCATCAGACTAAGTTTACCTTGATGTGACTACAAATGCACAAAAATAAAGGTGGGGGTGCTGAGAAATTTAAATTTTATATTTTTTGATCCCAAAAACATATTTTAAAAAGAAATTAAATTTAAAATTCTCAGCATCCCCTTTCCCTTCATGCGCATGTGTAGTCACATCACAGTAAACATAAACTTAGTCTGATGAAGTCCCAATGACGAAACATGTCACACAAAAAGTTTTTCTATTTTGTCATAGGAGTATCAATTTACAAAGAATTTACATAGCAAACAGGACCACCTCCCACTTTCTTTTTTTTTTTTTTCTTTTTTTTTTTTTTTTTTTTTTTTTTTTTTTTTAATTGAAATTCATTGTTGGGACAAAATTGTTTATTTTCTGTACATTCTTCAGATAATGAATAACTTAAACAAAATGATTGCATTAATCACAACTGTTAGGCAGCCTAAAAAGTTTGTTCTACAGTTGTTGTTGGTTGAAATTAGAAGCGTTTAGTTTTAACTTCCTTCCTTAGGTGCCATCCGTGATGCACGCTTGAATGATCATGTCTCTTTTTGATTCATGGTGGAGGAATTTCCACAGTAGGCTGCCATTACTTTCTGCAGTAGGCTGATTACAGAACTTGACTGTAATTCTAACTCCTCTCTCCAATTTCTCATTCTGAGCCATTATCCATCACATCAACCACACATCCAAGCTTACAGCACCTGGTATTCGTAAATGAGCACCCATCTAGGTACTGACCAAGCTCAACATTGCTTAAATTCAATGATTGAATGAGAACTGGTGATTCAAAGTGATAAGCCAGTTTTACATAAGCATAAGTTTTTAATTAATGTCATTTAGAAAAGATTACATTTGATTGTTTTTTATTGTGACAGCTGTCATATCAGTGTGCATTTTTATTTTTGTCTTTTTATCAAAATTAGCCCATTTTTGTTTATTGATTTTAACAGTGAAGATAAAACAACAATTTCAGCATTTTATTTTAAATGTATAAATGCAGATCAAATGTAAAAAGTAAAATATTTGTGCAGCTAGTATATGGACCAGGAAATGTAAATGATCAAACATGTCAAAAGTGGTTTGTAGAGTTTTGTGTTGAAGACTTTTTGTTAAACAATGCTGTCCAGTCTAGTAGATTGGTTGAAGTTGACAGCAAACAAGTCATTACTTGAGAATAATTAAAGTTATAAAAATGAATAAAAGTTGTTTACCCAATAGTATAAATGGTAATTTTGAATATTATGATGTTTAAAAATTTAATAAACTATAAATAAATAGAACCATTTATGATTTAACTTTTTTTAAAGATTTTTTATGCAAGTTTTTTTCTATAGGTATTTCAGATTAAATTAGTTCATGCAATAATGTCCTTAAGAAAAATGAATGTTTTTTTTTGTTTTTTTTTTTTTTTTTTTTAAGCAATACATGATTTTATTTAACTCCCCACTAAGGCAGGGTGTAACAGTCTTTTTTTATGTGGAGAATGTACATTTGGGCCAATGATGGATAAAAATTACCCAATCTCCACAACCACTGTCACTCTGACACATATTATACTGACCTCACTTCTCTTAGTGCTATGAGGAAGATGCTGCCACATGGTTGGAATCCCTGGTACCAGGCACCTTCTCCCATTTAAAATCAGGAGGACAGATACCTTGCTTTGTTCCTGGCCAAAAGCAATATTTAAGCTCTATATGATAGTTGTTAATACATTGATTTATCTAACCCCCTGATGATTGGATTCATTTCTGCAAAATTTGATTTCATAATATAAGTTTTTGAACATCTCCAAACAAGTTTTAATTAAAAAGAACCAACAAGGTCTGTCTGTTTATTTTTTTATTGTATTTTTCCAATTTTCGGATATGGTGAGTATTGTGCTCAAAGTTGTAGATAAATTGTTTGGAGTTCATATTTTGTTATTGCTGTTCAAGTACTTTTGGCTTTCATTGTCATTATCAAGAACAGATGTTGTATCTGTGTGGTAGTTAGAATTCTTTTGTCTGCATCCTGGTAAAGAATAAATTTCTGCACATTTTTTGTTAAGCCATTCCTCTTTAGCTTGTCTACATTTGTTCCTAATTTCTTTGTGCAGTCCTATATTCTGTGCCGTACATTGGCATTGTTTTTGTCTCTTTTTCATCATGCTGATAATTTCATCTGTCATCCATTCTTTTTTTTGGTAGTGGTAGGGGGTGATCTGGATTACTGATGTTACTAAAGCTTCTCTTAATGTGGCCCATGTCAAGTATCAATTCTTCTTCTGACCATTGTGTCTGCTTTTGACCCTGTCCATATATTTCTCCTTTACAGTCAGGTGATTCAGGAGTCTGTCATATTGCAATTCGGGTGCTACCTTGGCTTCTTCAATTTCTGTAGTTTCACTCTAAGTTTAAATATCATTGGAAGGTGGTTTCTCCTGCAGTCAGCGCTTGTTATGTTTTGCAGTGTGCATTCCTGAATCATTTTTTGATAGTTATATAGTCGATTTAGTTTTTCATTTCTCTTCCTGGTCTTCTCCATGTTCATATACATCTTAGGTGTTCTTGAAACCAGGTGTCAATTACTACCTGATCATTCACTGTGCACTGTTGGACCCATTTTTCTCTGCATTCATTACAAGTTTCTAGTTTGAATTTACCAACTATTTCACCATTTCTCTCATTTGGCATTCAGGCCTCCCATGACAATTGTAATTTCTTGCAATTTGTATTGTGTTGTGAAGTAAATAACACCCTACCCATAACATGAATGAATTAGGTATGACACCTTAAATAAAGAACTCTAAGTGAATCCGGGAAGTCCATTGGAGTCAGTAGAGAAGAATTTCTAACAGATGTAATGGTGAGTGCCTAAGTGTGACATAATATAACCACCCAGGAATGAGTTATAACATATTGAGATTTGGTGTTGTCTAGCATACAGTAAAACTTTTCAATTTCTCCTGTATTTTGTGCTACCAGTGCATATACAATGATGATGGATATGTTGAAAGGCTTTCCTCTCAGTTTAATGGTAAGAATTCTTTACTGAAAGAAATAAAGTTACAGGTTAACGGAATTTTGAAGTTGGCTGAAAGAGGGCAGAAGATCATAGAAGAAAATGATAAATATATTTCTTCAATAATGTTGAAAATGTTTTTGTTTCTTTTTTTTAATAAACTGGCAGTAGCTGAAGACGTTTCTGCAAGTCTTTATAATTACTTTTATTTTACATTATTTCACCTCTGCACTTTGGTATATTCCAGCCAAGCCAACACTCAGGGGTCAGCTAATTAATCGTGGAATGTCTGCTACAGGACTTCCTTATGTTGAAGGCAGCAATGGATTTTCTGTTAAAAACGTATCAAAGGTAATGTTAGAATCTTTTTATTATTCTTTTTTTATCCTTTGTTTGAATCTGTTTTTGTAACTTGATATGCTTTTTTGACCATTATGTTTTCATTTTATATATGATATAAATAAATCTTCATTATAAAAAAAAATCTTCAATATTAAATGAAAATGATATTAATACTGACATATATTTTATCTTAATGTAATAGAACATTACTATAAAAGTAATAAAAAATATATGAAGTGTACTTAGTGGATAAAAAGATTTTATAAGCGTAGATTGTTTGTAACTTAATGTGATGATGATAAGTGATATTTAGCACAACAATGAATTACATGTGTATATTTAGGTGCCACAACCAAATGTATATGTACAGATTTATATATTGAAGTGGATCTATATAGTGTGTATTTGTGAGTCTGGTTGGAAAAATGTAAAATCCTCCTTGGTTTTTTTTTTTTTTTTTTTTTTTTGATGTAAATGTACAGAATTTGAATGTTACATTATCAACTTTTCACCACAGATTATCTGGTTATTCTCATTCTCTTACCTTTGCTTCATTTTCTGAAAAAAGAAATTCTAAATAGAATTTCTGTTCTGTCTGGGTGCAGGAGATGATTGAGATAAGAAGATTGTAAACTTTTGTTAATTTTAAAATGAAAATTGATTTTCATCAGTCTCTACCTGACATCAACATTTTTTTCAAGTCAGTATTTCTCCTACTTTTCAAAGAAAAAAATGTTTTGACTGAATACATTTAGTTTTTACAATTGAAATACCAAAGTAAAATCCAAAGAAAGGTTTGTAATGTTATCAGTCATGACCTGGCATTGCAACATCAGTCACTTTCCCACTGCCATTACATGGCATCACTATGTTTTTCTCTGAATATTTTTGTGGCAATTGTTCTAATGACCTTTTCTCTCTGGTACTTTGACCACATGAATTTGAGCCTAGTCCTAGATTGGCAACTCTCTTTGTTTTATTGTTGAAATAACTAGATGTAACTGTAAATTCTATTTTGGTAGTTTTTATTACACTTCTCGCCTGTGGAACTCTCTTCCATCTTCTTGCTTACCTGTCACCTATGATCTTCAAAACTTTAAATGCACCATCTTTTATCTTCCTGAATCTTGTTCTTTTATTGTCCTTTCTCCTCACTAATGTTTTCTCATTTTCTTTCACTCTCAGTAACCCATAGTGGCATTATCACATAGCTTGAAGTGAAATGAATAAAAAAAAAAGTATTTTTATCTCAATGTTTATTAAATTGAAGAATGATTGAGAGTGACTTCATTTTTAGTCATTATTCGTTCAACTTTGTCATCAAATTATACATTTATTCAAAATTAAAATTTCAACAAAAATGAAGTTACATGTTTCATCTCTACTTAATTTGCAAATCAACATGTTTTCCAAGCATGAGTTAATACAGGGAGTTACTGAAAAGTACCCACTTTTAGATCTATCCAAGTATTTTAAAATAAAAATCTGTCTGTGATGGTCAGACCTTTGTTGATTGGACACAGAATGAATCACCTTGTGAGTTTCCTCTTATAATCCTTATCTTTATTAAAAAAATATGTCTTGTCTTTGCAGGGTCTGAAATTAAAAATACTTATACTATCATGCATATTTATTTATAATATGATGAACAAACCTTCAGTTACATAATATTTCACATCATCAAATTATTTATTGTAAATATTTCTAAAAGACAATTATTATAAGTTAAATTTCCTATTGTGTATTTATAAACATAAGTATATCTTGAATATTTTACCTATATTGGTTGTCAAGAACATTGACTTACACAATAAAATCTGACATAGTGTACAAAATATAGATTTGGCTGTTTTAGTAGTATGAAAATGGTGTAAAGGATTTTTTTTCTATATGTTGTATATATGCTTATATCAGTTGTTTTCTATATTAAAATATTATTTTGACAGTTATTTTTGTTTATATTTGCTGTTTAATTTGATTCTGTCATATCCATCCTAAACATTGGAGATTAAGAAGATTGCTAGAGAAATGTTAGAGAAATCTATGCCACTCTTTGGGAAACATATATATATATATATATATATATATATATATATACCCAATTTTAATAAACCAAAATGTTTGTCTGATGATCACAAAAGCATGAAACCCAGGGTCACAAACTCCTATTTGTGTCTGATGATTGCTACATGCATGAAACTCAGTTATACTAACTGGTGAGGAACAAATATATATTTATAATTAGTATAAATTTTTGCTCTGTTATTTTTCATTGAGTATTGTTTTATTACCACCAGCTGTTTGGTCAAATAATATCAACAAGTTCTGTCTATCCAATTTTTTATTAACTTAAATTTCAGAATTAGTTGTTTTATATAATTGGAAAATTTATATTTCTCCCTTTACATTTTGTCTCCAACACTAACAATCAACAAACAAAATTAAACTTACATTGACCACAACTTTGGTAAATTTACTGATTATATGACATAACTAATTCGGAAATTTGAAAAAGTTAATAAAAAAATTGGACAGACAGAATTAATGGATTTATTTTTAATCTGACATTTTTATGACTTCAAGCATTATTTTTAGTAAAATACCTTAAGTACACAGACCGGTAGATGCAATACACACTGTTAAAAAAAAAAAAAATGGGGCATCTATTTCAAATCCACTAAAAATAACATTTGAAGTAATAAAAATGTTGGATTAAAAATAAATCTACTAATTCTTTAGAATTTGCTTTGTTTACATTTTAGATATGAAATGAAGCAGATACAAGCTTTTGAGGAAAACCTGAATGAAGGGATGTGCATTCCTTAAAAGGGTAAATAGAACCTTGCTGGGCTGTGATGTCCTCAGACGATGATTTCTCTTACAAAGGTGGATGCAGGTTGAAACCTGCCAGAGTTCACTATTTTCTTTATTAAGTCTTCTCAAGTACACAGGCTGGTAGACATAATACAGACTGTTTAAAAATAATTGTGTTTCTATTTTCAAACACAGGTATCCACTAAAAATAACATAAAATGTTTTGTGAACATTGGATTACTATTAAATCATGGCTCTCCACAGTTTCCTATCTTTTTTTAGCTCTTAGTAAAGTTTGTTTTTTCACCACCCCTCTCAGTCCCTATTCTGCTATCCATTTACACAAGCACATTAGAGAGATTACTCACTGTTTTCCCTCTGCCCCTCTTGCATTCAATATGTTCTGTGAGTGTCAAATTCTCCAAGCCCCCTTTTATCATGCTCCAAAAATTTCAGCTGTTTCTTTGTAATTCTTAGTATGTGTCCTTTTTGTTTCCACTTGCCTTAAAATTTCTTCATTGCTCAAATACACTGTCTATAGTATTCTCAACATCCTTCTATAGAGCTATATTTCTTTTACCTCAAGTCTCCGCTTCATCTGTCAGGAAATTGTCCATCATTTACTCATATTAACCTTTTCAAATTATCAAATGTGACCTGTTCAAACAGCATTCATAAATTAAAGGCAATAATATTCAATAATCTTTAATTATTATTAATTTTTGACTAATATTTCTTTAATTGTATTTCTTTTGCTTTTTTGCCCAACTCTTTGACAATCATTTTATGGTCATTAATAAGAGTAACTGTCAGAGTTGTAATAAATAGTAAGAGAAATAAGATTAATTTTATTAGAAATTTAATAATTGACAGTACTTCATCTAATAATAAATTCAAGATATTTGTAGACATTTATTTGCTTTTAAGGACAGAAAAAATTCAGATTTGGGTTTCATAGTTGATTTAGAACAGTTTGTATTAATTTTAATTAAAATAAATAAGGAATATTTTTAATTAAGTGGTAATTTTTTTACAAAGATAATGTTCACCCTGTACAAGGCCCAAGAGGGTATTTTGAAGCTGTTAATGCTAGGAAGATTTTGAATGTGTGTGTGTGTGTGTGTTTATTTTTATATATATATATATATATATATATAATATATATATATATATATATATTTAAAAATTAGAAGATCTGCCAATCACACTACCTTGGTTTCAACCTTTCGGTATTTTCAGCTGATTTGTGTGTGTATGTGTATATATATATATGCACACACAGACACAAATTGATCTTTGTGTGATTGGTTGTCTGAAGTAATGTTCTCATCAGAACAAAACCCAACCACATTCAAATATGACATCCAGCCTTCTTTGTCATTAAACTGACAGGAACTTGGCAATTAGAACCCAGACAAAAAGATCTTCATATGAGGAAAAAGGTGTGTGTATATATATATATATATATACACACACATAAAATCTTTTTCCTCATTATTTAAATTTCCATAATACGGCCAACATTTTGACCATAAGTCTTTTTCTTCTTTCCCTCTTTTATATAATATGACTACTCAACCTACTGCTATTCATTTTTTTTTGTTTTTTTTCCCCAGTGATTATATGGCATTTGTTTTGCACACGACACCTTACAGTTATGGGTTATTCATGTTTGTTGAAAAAAAAATATGTTCTCTTGCTAATCCACATTGATGGAAAGCCAACAGTTAATCCTGCAAATAATCCAGTTTGTTTAAAATGAACAAATATCTCTGGTTTTTATAACTGTACTATCAACTACAAAGAAAAGTAAAAGTGTACGACTGGCAAGAGGCAATAAATAGAAAGTTAACTGTGCTCTTAATGGAACTTTAAGCACTTAGATAAAACAATATACAGTGGAAATTTAAGATCAACTCTCATACCTTTCAAAACTTTAAATTGGTTATGTTATTGCCAGAAATTTATCTATAGAAGAAAAAATTAGTATTTTATCAAAAGATTCATTCTCTAAAGATCAATTGAATATCTGTAAAATAACTATTAATTTAGTAAAATGATGATTTTGGAATTTGTGCAATTGCACAAATAAGGCCTAATAACTCAGTTCTTCTGTAGAGTTTCCAAGCAAAGAAACTCCAAACTTATATTTGCCAGTATAGCATAATAGTTGAATTTAAATTTCAAACTAAGAG